ACTTACATGAATTGGGTGTTAGGATCAACCATCAATCTCTATTGTTTTTTATTACACTTTATTCTTCTTTTTTCCTTCATATATGCATTTCGATGTAATATATATTTTGTTGTTGTGGAGTCCCTAACTTTAAGAAAACAAACATAATCCATTAATAAAATAACTAGCAAATTAGAAAAGAATCAACGTTATATTATTACACAATTTGGTAATATGAATTACTCATAATAAAATTATATTAACTGTAAACGAATAAATAAAATGTAAATTACATTCATTATAGATAAATTATATAAGCTGTAATTTGCCCTAAAAAAAATAAAAAATTACACACAATTGCTGTATTTTTCTTTAAGCACTATTTTATTCCTATTTGTGTAAATTGACAAATAGAAAGCCTTTGTTTTAGGCCCAACACTGCAAGCCCACAATGCAAAAGATTCCACTTTTTTTGGTGCCAATTTGATAGCTTTTATGGTACTCTAATTCTATCACTGTTTTTATTAGTAGCTAAGATGATATGGGCTAGATTTTCCATCTGTTTATTTATAATATTTCTAAAGTTTTGCCTTTTGTAAAATTCAATGATTTATCTGTCTAAATTATTCTGTTTTTGCAAGATTTTCAAAATTCTTGTTGTTTCTTACTTACTTTATTCGTTTGTTTTATTTTGGGAAAGAAAAACCAATAGCGATGACATCCAAGGCGAGAAGGGGAAATAATCTTCCAAGTGACATAGGAGATCGATTAAGTTGTTTATCAGGCAAGATAATCAGTCATATTCTATCCTTTCTTCCTATAAAATTTGCTATCCCAACAACCATTTTGTCCAAGAGGTGGCAAAACCTCTTGAATTTTATAACAAATCTTGAATTTGAGGAGAACACTTTGATTGCAACTAGTTCTGTTTATGATGTATGTTAAGCTTCAAAATTGAGCCTCAATAAGAAGTCCACAGCTCAAAATCAAGACTGAAGAAGAAGCCAAAGCACTATGTAAGTGGCCGAAGTCCTGAAGTCGAAGTGTAGGCAAGTGGATGAAGCCCTGAGCCGAAGCACTATCTAAGTGACTAATACTCTGAAACCGAAGCCCTATATAAAAAGTCAAAGAAGAAGCCTAAACCCTTTGTCCCGAAGCTCTTCACACCGAATACCTTTAATACGAAGCTTCCTTTGGCCGAAGCTCTCATTCCAATCCGAAGCTCCCTTAGGCTGAAGCCCTTACTATCTTTTTGATGATATGCATGCAATTTTTAGGAATGATTGGCATAATGTTTATAATAATAACGGTTAGGATTGGCCTGAGAGATGAGGTCACGTGGTTTTTATCCAACGGTTACTACGTCAGCCAGAACTCTATAAAAGCTTACAACCTATGCCATTTGAAAAAGAATATAACTCTTTACACTTCAAACCATACTCTATCTTCTCTGTTGCTTATTTCATACTTATTTTCTTGAGTTTAGATTACTTTTATTCGGGTTGAGTTGTTTGTGATTGTTTGTTTATATACAATCATCTTATATCAAACTGTTGGTGTTTGGACATTTTTGTCTCGCATCATAAAGCATTTGCTTCGTCCATAAATGCCACCCTTTTCCATCTAGATCTCTGTTGTCCATGTAATCATTACAAAAAATGGGGTCAACAGATTGACACCGTCTTTGGGAAACACCAATACAATCACGAACATTCCCGTAGAAAATCTTATTGGAATATTTATTCGGTTCCCCCTTTGAAAAATGATTTGTTGAAAAAAGAATAAGTGAAAACCCCAAGAAAGAGATTTGGAGTCGACATCAGTACTTGGATTGCTGTTATTTCTTGAAAAAATGAATAGATTGATATAAAAATCCATTTGTATGACCCCCTGACAGATGGATGTCTCCAACGAAGAGGGCATTAATAAGAAGACCCCCTAAAAAAAAGGGAGGTCGCTGAAGAAGTGACCTTAAATAAAGTAAGACCCCCTGAAAGGAGTAGGTCTCCAACGAAGATGCCATGAATAAAAAAAACCCCTGAAAAAGGGAACGTCGCTGAAGAAGTGGTTATGAATAAAATAAGACCCCTTTGAAGGAGGAGGTCTCCAACGAAGAGGCCATGAATAAGAAGACCACCTGAAAAAGGGGAGGTCGCTAAAGAAGTGGCCTTGAATAAAGTAAACCCCCTAAAAAGAGAAGGTCTCCAACGAAGAGATCATAAACAAGAAGATCCCCTAAAAAGGGAGAGATCGTTAAAGAAGAAACCTTGAATAAATAGACCCCCTAAAGGGAAGAGGTCTCCGAAGAAGAGGTTGTGAATAAGAAGACCCCATAAAAAGAGAGAGGTCGTTGAAGAAGCGGCGTTTAATAAGAAGACCCCTTAAATGGGAGGTCTTTGATGAAAAGGCTATTGGAAGACTCTTTTACAAATGGGAGGCCTTTGAAGAAGAGGCCATAAATGGAGTAACACTGAAGAAAGTTGTCTCTATTAAGTGCTAAGCAAAAATTTTCAAAATGAAAGGGAACAACGCAAAAGAAGAAAAAATGACTAAAAGCGTAAAAAAATGCGAACTTAGGGATTGAAGTGTAGATGTTTCGAAAATTGAAGGACTTTGAATGCAATGTATCAATGATATGATTGAAATAAAAGTCAAAATATGAGGATCAAAATGTACAAGGTCAAAAGTTGAGGGACCCAGGTGTGAAATTACGGAAGGACTTGATGGCAATTTTCATATTTTGCCTATGGACAAGTATTACCTTCTACATATTCATCATGTAAGCCTTATCTTCGCCTATGCGTAATCCTCCATGGATGAACCTTCCACCATAGAAGAACCTCTGACATGGATAAGCCACTCCCATGTAAAGAAGTAATTCACTTTAAAATGAGAGGTGAGAAGCATCCCATTAGAGGCTCACCTCAAATGCCTATAAAGATGAAGCCTCTACATGGATGAACTATCCACCATGTAGGGAAGCATGAGCGCCTAGAAAAAGTGGATCCCAAAAGGGACTACCTCCAAATTTTCCAAGATTGACATCATATGCCTCCCATAAATGAAGTCGAACACCATGAGAGAAACCTTTGCATGGATGAATATCCACCATGTATGAAAGTATGATAGCCTCGGAGAAGAGGTGGATCCCATAACCTCCAAATTCTCCGAAGTTGACATCATATGCATCCCAAGGATGAAGTTGAACACCATGGAAGAAATCTCTACATGGATGAACCATCCACCATGTAGGGAAGCATTAGAGCCTCAAAGAAGAGGTGGATACCAAAAGGGCCCACCTCCAAATTTTCCACGCATGCCATAGAAGAATATTATTTTTCAAAATAAAAAGTCCACGCATGACATAAATAATCGTACATAGATTAGGAGGACCATTGTTACGCTTCAAAATCGAGGCTCAATAAGAAGTCCACACCACTGAGGCTTAAGAAGAAGATAAAGCACTAAGTAGCTGAAGCCTTGAAGCGAAGCGTAGGCAAGTTGATGAAGCCCTGAGCCGAAGCACTATCTAAGTGGTTGAATCTCTGAAGTCGAAGCACTATATAAGTAGTTAAAGAAGAAGCCAAAGCTCTCTGTCCTGAAGCTCTTCACACTTCGTTCCAATCCGAAGCTCCTTTAGGCTGAGGCCCTTGCTGTCTTTTAGAGGATTTGTAGGTAATCTTTAGGAATGATTAATGTATAATAATAAATGTTATGGTTGTTAACCTGGGTGTAGGACGGCTAACCTGTTTTCAATGTATTAAATGCATAATAGACTGAGTGATGTGAGGCTTCGACTTGGGAGATGAGGTCACGTGGCATTTATTCAACGGTTGCCACATCGGTCAGAACTCTATAAAAGAAGAATGCTACTCTTTACACTTCAAACCATACTCTATCTTCTCTCTTGCTTATTTTATACTTATTTGTTTGAGTTTAGATTATTTTTATTTGAGTTGAGTTAAGTTGTTTGGTAAATAATACTTACCTTTCTTCTTAGCATGTGATTGTTTGTTTATATACGATCATCTCATATCAAACCGTTGGTGCTTGAACATTTTTGCCTCACGTCATAAAGCATCTCCCACCTCCATAAACACTACTCATTTTCGTTCGGATCTCCGGTTAAAATGTGTTGGAATTTGCTTGCGTGGACACGAGTGGGCACCATTACAAAAGGCGAGGTCAAGAATGCAGAACATGTACTGAGTTTTTGCACCTCACCGCATATCTATAATTACATTTAAATATATATTTCAGTAATCTGTTTAGGTTAATATTTATAGTATTTTCTCTTTTTTGTTGAAAGACAGTGAAGAAGATAGGAGTGTTTATGCAACTATCTCTTTTGGAATGTACGAGGTATAGGGACCTCGACACGCATGTTGCGAAAGTTGGTGAGAAGGCATAAGCCTAGAATAGTAGCAATAGTGAAGCCTTGGCAAACAACGGATAGAATGGGCATTTTATAGAGGAAACTAAATTTTAATTTTGGCTTATCGAACATTGACGTAGAAGGAAAACTTTGGATCATGTGGGGTCATGAAGTACATGTTAATTTGATGAGTAAAAGTAACCAACAAATCACTTATTTGGTGATAGAAGGTAATTATCGGATGTTGGTTTCTTTTATTTATGCGAAATACACGGCTGTAGAAAGAAGATTGCTCTAGTCAGAATTAGAAGAGGTGAATCATTCACATATTCCCTGGGTAATGGTTGGAGATTTTAATAGTATCAGAAATAGTTCAGAAAGGCATGGAGGCCGACCTCGACCAATGGGTGATATGTAGGACTTTAATAAGTTTATTGACAATTGTGGGTTGATGGAAATATCGCCAGATGGCGGGGAACCTTATTGCTGGTGTAATGGTTAAACATGCTGGACTAGGAGTTGGGAAAAATTGGATAGATTATTGTACGATTCTAATTGCTTGGAGAAATTTCCAAATCTTCATTTGTGGTATTTAGCTCGTACCACGTTAGACCATACACCAATTCTGATCTGGCTATAGACTAATATGGTTCGTTATGGCCCTACACCAATTAATTTCCAACAAATGTGGACTACACATGAGAGCTTTAAGGATTATGTGTTAAAGATATGGGAAGAGAACTCAGATGAAAGTGGTTTATGGCACCTAGTTGGAAAACTAAAAAGGTTGAGGACTACACTACGTATGTGGAACAAAGAGGTGTTTGGGTGGACGCAGGAACACATTCAGCAGCTGGAAAAAGAGTTAGAAGAGTTGGATGCTAGCCTACAACTGGCTCACTCGAAGGAGATAAAATATACCTATTTAACTACAAAAGTAGAACTTGACACTTGGGAGAAGAGAGAAAGGGATGCCCCTAGCACAAATAGCAAAGCAAAGGTGGATTGTGAAAGGTGAAGCCGGTAATAAGTTTTTTAAGCAATTTAATGGTAGGACCTTTTATAGGTTCAAGGAGATGATACTAAGGGATGGTACGATGCTTGAAAATCATAAGGCAATCCATCGCGCAGCGGTTGATTATTTTCAAAATTTCTTAGGAGATAGACCTAGGAGAGACCAACTGTACCTATCAGCTTGGATTCAACACATTATTTCAGAGGTAGATAACGAGGAAATTGGGAGGTTACCAACTCCTAGGAGGTCAAAGATGCATTTTTCTATCCTAACGGACAGTAGTCCTTGTCCTGATGGATTTGTCTCAGGATTCTATAAATCTTGTTGAGATATGGTGGGTGAAGATGTTGTGGAGGCAGTGCGCGATTTTTTTCAAGGTACGGATATTCTAAGATTCTATTCTTCCTCCTATGTGGTTCTAATTCCTAAAATAAGTTTGTGTTCAGTAATATATAATGTTTGGCCGAAAATTCTGGTAAAAATAATAGCTTTAATATTACCAAGAATTATTTCTATGGAGCATGGTGCTTTTATTCCAGGGGAGAAGTATTTTTGATAATATTACTCTGTCTCAAGAGATGATTCATAACATTCACAAGCCGGCAAGGGGTGGAAATGTAGTCCTGAAAGTGGATATCGTCAAAGCATATGATAGTATTGACTGAGACTTTCTCATGCACGTATTGAAGTCCTTTGGTTTCTCCTCCAATATCTGTGATCTGGTAAGATAGTGTGTTACTACTCCTTAGTATTCTGTGGTGATGAATGGAACTATGAAGGGCTTCTTCAAAGGTGGAAGGGGTTTAAGGCAAGGGGATCCCCTGTCTCCATATCTTTTTATTGTTGTAGAAGAAGTTTTATGCAGAATATTGAGAGCTAAATATGAAGATGGCAGCATAAGATCTTTTTCTTTATCAAGGGGGCCTCCCTTAATTTCTCATCTGCTGTATGGTGATGACATTGTAATATTTGCGAATGGTGGAAAAAGATCTTTAAGATCTATTAAGGAGGTCTTCCAAAAATATGAAGAATGGTTGGGACAGGTTGTTAGTGTTGGTAAAACCTCTATTATTTTCTCTAAACAGATCATTGTGTCAAGACGATGGATGCTCTTACGACTCACTGGATTCACAAAAGGTAAATTTCCCTTCAAATATTTAGGGGTTCCGATAATCACAGGAAGGTTGAGAGCTCAAGATCTTGAGGATGTGGTTGGGAAAATTCGTATGAGATTGGCAGGTTGGCAAAGTAGGGTGTTATCTAAGGGGGCCAGGCTTCTGCTTTTGAGGCATGTCCTTACTAGCATGCCTCTACATATGTTTTCTTGTATAAAGCATCAGTTTTGGTTATAAAAGTTATGAACAGAATCTTTGGCGATTTCTTCTGGGGCTACGCGGATGGAAAGCCTAAGAGGAAATGGATAGTATGGGACAAAGTTTGTATGCCTGTTAAAGAAGTAGGAGCTGGGCTTCGTAATCTACATGAAGTGCAATTATCCTTACACATGAAATTTTTCTGGAAACTTTTGACTGAAACATCTCTTTGGTCAAAAGTTTTTAGGGCAAAATATATCAAGGACAAACATATTACTCAAGTGGATGCTACTAAGGGGTCAAAATTCTAGAAGATGGTTATGAATTGCATGCTACATGTTCTTAAACGATCTAGATGGCGAGTGAAGGAGAGTGGTGTATCATTTTGGTGGGATAGATGGTCAAATACGGATCATTTGGGAGATCGGATGCTATTGGTTGAACTAACTAAAATCTTGATCAAAGATCTTAAAAATGACAATGGGTGGAACAGAAATATGATAGAAGAGCTAGTTGGGAGAGATCAAGCGGGAGAGGATCTTGCTAAACTAGGAAAAATCGAGATATGCAAAGATAGACTGATTTGGACTGAAAGCTTGGATGGAAATTTTTTTGCAAACGTCAAGGGTAGATATCACAGTGGCATGAATGGATTTGGCACCCAACTCTACCAAAGAAGATTTTGTTAAATATATGGTTGGCCATGAATGACAAAATCCGAAAAGCTGTATCCCTAGTGTATCAAAGTGTATGTGTTGCTTGCAGATGGGATATGAGGATCAAAATAACATCTTGGCCTTGGGGAATGTGCCTCAACAAATTTGGCAGAAATATTCAACCGTACTAGGAATTCGATGCATGCATACTAGAGGATGGAGAGAACGTGTAGAATTTTGGTTCCGAAGAGCAAAACAAACATCACATAAAGGTACTTTGGTAGGTGTTATTCCTAGAATAATTTTCTGGCATTTATGGATGTGGCGATGTTCAGCCAAGATGGAAGGAAAAATGGAATCTATAGAAGCTAATTTTTTTGTTCTTTTTAATTTTTTTTTTTTTTTTTTGTAAAGTAGGTGGGTCGGGTTGGACGAGTTTATTTGATTTTCATGAGTTAACTCATAACCTGACCCAACCCAACCCAATCCAACCCGCCTACACAATCAACCCACCTAACCCGTGTAAAAACAACAAAAAAATCGACCTAAACCGATCGGGTTTGTTCAATTTGGGCGGTTTGAGCGGGTTCAGTCGGGTTTTGCCCACCCTTTGTCCCACCATCTGATTAATAGTTCATTTTTCGACATGTAACCTCCATATGCTTCCTCCAGAAAGCCAAAGGGTCTTACAGGATTTGCTTCGATTGTGCTGAATAAGGCTCATTGCTGCTTGATAATGGAGTATTCTTTCTTCCAACGTTATTTGAAGGACTAAACGAGTGATTCTGAAGTGGTTCCACCTGCATAAAACATCCTTTCACTATTGGAGTCGGCTTGGATGATTCCCATTCTCATGTCTTTAGGTGAATCGAAAGTAAATGTATATAGAATTATTCAACACATAAATAGAACTAGCTCATTAATTTGTTAATCGATTAGTAAATGGAAGGTGTTCTTGTCGTCCTCTTGACATAAGATTGCGAGAATAAGAAGCATATATTCCCCTCTTTACATTAATAAGTCCAAACATGGAGCTTGGTGACTTGATTGTGAGTGGCTATGGATTGAACGAATAGAGCTTTTTAGAGGTGCGTTCATGTTCGGTGCATTGGCCCGGAAATCGATTAGTTAATATAATGAGTACCACAATAGGACAGTGAGTACACAATAGGACAGATTTCATTAAAAAATTGAAAAGGGTCAGTAATTCCTCGTATTGTATCTTTTCTGCACCTATAATTACAAAAAAATTTAAAAAATGATAAAAAGAGGACTGTCGTCTGTCGAGTCTCGATATAAAATTGTAGTTATATAAAGACATGAAATTAATCTCCCGTCCCCAATGCAACGGAGATAACCGTAAGTAAAATTGTAGCTATATAAATATATGAAATTGATCTCCTGTTCCCAGTGTAATGGAGAGAACCATAAGTAAAGTTCTCATACCACATCAACAGTGAGAAGTTTTTATCATGCTTTCAATCCTATATAAAGATATATTTTTATAAAAACTACTCAATGTTGAACGCACGTTGCACGTTATTATAAATTGCTTTAAATATGTATGAATGTTAATTAATTTAGAATCAATACCAAGGAATATATACGTGACAATAAATATTAAATAATTAATTTTAATTTGTAATTAAGTAAAATTGGATGTTAATTAGCATACATAAACATGAATAATGAAATGTATTTTTGAATGTAAAATTCTAATTAACTTATAATTAAAATTAATAACACTGAAATGCATAAATAAGTATGAATATTAATTAAATGAACGTGAATGTTAATTTATTGAGAATTAATGATAAGGAATTCATACATTAATGAAAGCACACGAGTGAAATAAATATGTCAAATGTAAATGTACATTGACGGTAACTAAATAAATTAAATACATATTGAAAAATGAAAAGTATGGTATTATCGAAATAATTAAATTATAGTATGGCTAGAATTGCTCAAAAAATTATTCTCACTTGATGTGATATTTAATATATTACACATTAATTAAATTAATGTGAATGTTAATTAATTGCAAATTAATAATGAGGAATTCATACATTAACGAAGGCAAATAGGTGAAATGAATATATCAAATGTATATGTACGTGATGCTAACTAAATAAATTAAATACATATTGAAAAATGAAAAGTAGAGTATTATTGAAATAATTAAATTACAGTAGGGCTAGAATCGTTTAAAAAAATAATTCTCACTTAATGTGATATTTAATAAATTATAGATAATATTGAAACTTGAGATTTCACTTTAAAATATTAGTTTTATGGAAAGGAAAACACAAATATCCCATATGAAATTTATCTTTAAAATACAATAACATTATTAATATCCCTTATGAAACTTATCTTTAAAATACAATACATGAAAGACTTCGGGGGAGTGTTTGAGCTCATATTTGGTAGAGATTTTTTAAAACTCACCGTTTACTAAATCATTTTTTTCAATGAAATAATTTTACTTCACATTCCCAAAAAATCACTTTTCAAAAAAAGTTATTCTCAAAAAAAATTACATCAAAATCCATTAATGTTAAAAGTTTGGATAATGTACCATGTTCTAATTTTGTAGGGCAAAGGGCTGACCTCTCATTTTCAGAGTCCACAATAGGGCCAAAAGTGTATAGGCTCACTGGATCGCCAGACCTATGTAATCCATTTTTTAGAAAAATAAAGGGATAATTGCAGTAGCAGTACCAATAGCTATGTTGCCGAACCGAGTCGAGCCCGAGCCGGAAAAAAAAAAACTCAAGATTGGCTCGAGCTTTTTTGGGCTCGAGCCGAGCCGAGCCCGGCCAAAAAAAAAATGAGGCTCGACCCGAGCTTTTGGCTCGAGCCTTAGTGGGCCGAGCCTAGTCAGCTCGATTTTTTTTTTTCCATGTCAAATTTAAATTTTTTTTTCTTAAAGAATCTAAATTTTGCCATGGCCAAACAAAGATAAAAAAACGTCGATAGTAGAGAAAATAATTTAAAAAAAAAAAGTCATTTAAATAATATTTTCAAAGTG